AGAGACAGGAGATGGGGGTGTCCCTGTGTTTTCCAGGCTAGTCCCAATCCTGGGCTCCAGCTACTGCCTCCCCGCTAGCTGGGACTACAGGCAGGAACCAAGCTTTTGAGGAACCTTGAGAGTTCTGGACTGTCAGAGCCTCACCTTTCAGGTCCACCAAATGGGTATCCTCTTCACGGGGTGATGAATTAGCGTGATCACCCGAAACTTTCCTGTTAACACCTGTGCTCCCAACTCACTCTCCTTCCCAGGTCCCAGGCATTCTTCTCCTTAGAATGATGACCCACACGCAAGGCAGCGGACAGGACACTTCCCTGGGAGGGGCCTGCACACCTGGGGTGGAGGTGGCAGATAAAGAGAGCCGGGCTGGATTCAGTGGTTCAGGCCTGTAATCCCAGCACTTTGGGAGGCCGAGGCGGGTGGAGCGCGAGGTCAAGAAACCCCGTCTCTACTAAAAATACAAACCTTAGCTGGACATGGTGGCGGGAGCCTGTAGTCCCAGCTGCTCTGGAGGCTGAGGCAGGAGAATCGCTTGAACCCGGGAGGCGGAGGCTGAAGTGAGCTGAGATCTCAGTGAGACAGGGCGCCCCACTCCAGCTCCAGACAGAGGGGCGGGAACGTGACCCGCTCCCGGGGTGGGTGAGAGGGCGGGCTCTAGAAGGTGAGGGGTGGTGTGTGTGGGGGGGGCTTCGAGAGGGCGAGTTGGCCGGGATCAGGCTCTGGGGGGCCCCTGACGAGGTTAGGCTTGGGGGCGGACCTTAGTGGGGGGCTGGGCCTTGAGGGGATCGGACGCAGTCCCCGGGCGTCTAGGGAGCAGGCTTTTGTCGTGGGCCCTAAGGGGGCGGGCTCTGAGGCGGGGGGGGGGGGCGGAGAGTGGGGGCGCGCCCCAGGGGAGCTGGGCTTTTTGAGGACCGGCTTAGGGGCTTGGGGGTGGGCTCCGTGGGAGTCTATATGGGCGGGGTTTAGAGGGAGCGTGCCCTGGGGAGCAGGTCAAGGGGCTCTAAGGGGCAGGGCCTGGGGCGGGGCCTTGGCTGGCTCCAGACTGGGGTGGGGCTCTCGGGGGCTTGGCCTAGTGGGGCTGGGTCGGGTCCTGGGTGGTGGTGGTGGGTTCACTCAGGTCTGGACACTTAAGAGTCCCTCATTCGTCTTGGGGTTATGCCAGTTTATTTTGGGCCTCAGTATACCCCTTGGTGCCATGTCAGGGGCCAGGAAGTTATGTATTTTTTGCGGCTACGGGGTCTCGCAGTGTCACGCAGGCTGGAGTGCAGGGGCGCGATCACGGCTCACTGAGCCTCGAGCTCCTAGGGCTCAAGCGACCCTCCCATCTCAGCCTCCTGAGTAGCCGGGACTACCGGACTACACCACACTCAGCTCATTTTTTTTTTTTTTTTTTTTTTTGTAGGGACGGTGATCTTGATTTGTTGCCCAGGCTGGTCTCCATCTCCTGGGTTCAAACCCTCCTCCCGCCCTGGCCTCCCAAATACTAGAATTACAGGCATGAGCCGCAGTGCCCGGCCGAGCCCAGGAACTCTCAATGCTCCTTCCTAGGCCGTCCGCAGACGTGGGGCGGGGGGGCGACGGGAGGCGGGGCGAAGGCATGCCCCCCCATCCCTGGTCACTGCTTGGCTGGGGGATAGGGGTGCATAGCTACAGGCCTGGGGGCACCTGGAGCGGGGGGTAGGGTGTGGTCGCCAAACTCTGTGCGATCACTGGAGTAACGGAGTGGGGGCCATTTGAAGAATGAGGAAAGCGGGGGGCGCCGCAGCCCGTTTTGAGGCCGGAGGGGCAGCCCCCACGTGGCTGCGGTCCGCGCACTAGCTCCGGAAGTGTCCGAGTTCAGACGCAGTGCTGCGGCCCGGCCGCCGGGAACGCGCCCTCTCTGATCCTCCCGCCTCTCCCTTGTTGAGTGGGACCCCACTGCACTTGCAAAGCGGAGAGACCTGACCACTCCCCCCAGGCGCCCCCAATCCCGGCTGTTGTGGTTCCTAAACGGTGGTGCCGGGAGCAAAGTGAAGCTCCCGGAACGTATTACATTGTATTAAAATAGCTTGTTTATCTCCACGTTGCATTAGTGCCCCCGGGGCCAGGATCTTTGGTTGCCAGACTTCCCGGGGCCACTTGGAATGCCTCCTCCACCTGGGACTAGCAGTGCTCTTTGGCCTCAGTCTCCCCAGTTGACAAATGGGGGGTCATCTGCACCTCCGGGACCGCTTTGTGAATTACTTAGGGAACCGGCTTGAAGCCAGCACTCCCGGGGCAGCTCCGTCCCCTCAGCAAAGGCTACATTTTATATACTCTCATTCATATTTGCCTTGTGTTTTCCCAGATTGGCACCTGAAAAGGGTTTGTTAATTTCATGAGCATCAAGGGGTCCCTTACTCTCTCCTCCTCTTCCCCTTCACCCTCTGTGGGTCCCTGCCACCTCCGCCCCCCTCCCCCCACCGCTCCAGGTCCAGGAGAATTTGTCAAGGGTTTGGGGGAACATTCAACCTGTCGGTGAGTTTGGGCAGCTCAGGCAAACCATCGACCGTTGAGTGGACCCTGAGACCTGGAACTGCCACCCTCCTGCGGGTAACTCTGATCTTCCAGATGTAGGGGGACCAGGGGAGCCCCGACCCAGCCTGGGCACACCCCCTCCCCTAAGCCACAGCCAAGGTCACAATCAACATTCATTGTTGTCGGTGGGTTGTGAGGACCGAGGCCAGACCCACCGGGGGATGAATGTCACTGTGGCTGGGCCAGACATGGCTTAAGGGGAATAGGGACAGGGGACAGGCCCCCACCTCTACCCCCAGAGTAACTCAGCCTGTTTTTTTGCCCAGACCCCAGCCACTTTGGAGAGGAGAGCGGTGTCTGGGATCTGGACTGACTCTGGCTGCATTTGGGACTGTTAGAGGGTTGGGTGGGGGGTAAACAGAAACAGGCTAGGGTAGGTTAGGGCAGCTGAAGTCCCTTCTTTTTTTTTTTTTTTTTTTTGAGACAGTCTCGATCTGTCACCCAGGCTGGAGGCAGTGACTGGATCTCAGCTCACTGCAACTTCCGCCTCCCTGGTTCAAGCGATTCTCCTGCCTCAGTCTCCCAAGTAGCTGGGATTACAGACACCTGCCACCAAGCTGAGCTAATTTTTGTATTTTTAGTAGAGACGAGATTTCACTGTGTTGGCCAGGATGATCTCAAATTCCTGAACTCAAGTAATCCTCCCACCTCAGCCTCCCAAAGTGCTGGGATGACAGGCGGCTGCTTCCCCTGGCCTAAAATCCCTTTCTGAAAGTGGGTGGTGAGTTCTGCTCCCTGGAATGCTCAGTTGTTCTGTTTTTTAAATTAGAGACAAACTCCTGACCCTGGGATTCCACTACCTCAGCCTCCCAAAGTGCCGGGATTACAGGTGTGAGCCACTGTGCCTGGCCTTTTTTTTTTTTCCAGTCTCACTCCGTCACCCAGGCTGGAGGGCAATGGCACGATCATAGCTCACTGCAGCCTCTAATTACTGGGTTCAAGCGTTGATCCTCCCGCCTCAGCCTCCCCAGTAGCTGAGATCACAGGCATGCACCACACCACACCTAGCTTATTGAAAAAATGTTTTTGTAGGAATGGGATCTTGAACTTTGCTAAGGCTGGTCTCCAACTCCTGGGCTCAAGCCATCCTCCGTCAGCTTCTCAAAGCGAGTTACAGTGCCTGGCCAACAAAGTTTCTTTTTTCTTTTTTTGAGATGGAGTCTTGCTCTGTTGCCCAGGCTGGAGTGCAATGGCACCATCTCTGCTAACTGCAGCTTCCACCTCTTGGGTTCAAGTGATTCTCCTGCCCCAGCTTCCCAAGTAGCTGGGATTACGGGTGCTACCACCATGCCTGGCTAATTTTTGTATTTTTAGTAGAGACGGGGGTTTCACCATGTTGACCAGGCTGGTCTTGAACTCCTGACCTCAGGTGATCCGCTGCGCCTCAGCCTCCCAAAGTACTGGGATTACAGGCGTGAGCTACCTCAGCCTGTAAAAGTTTCTTAAATGAATGGATGGGTGGAGGAGGTATGTAAAAAGTTAGAAGTTCTGTGTCCAAGTCCTGGGCACACCCTGCCCTCATGGGACTGAGCTGAGGTCTCATCTGGGGAGGACACTAAAGAGCTGTAGGTAGTAGGGGTCCCCTTCTAACAGCCCAACCGGCACCTCTGCTATCCCCCACCTCCCAGCTCCAGAGGGTTCTTTCTCATCCCTCTGCACCCCCAGCCAAGAGGGGCTCCCTCCCCAGCACCTAGTCTCAGGGGGCCCCAGTAACTGGAAGGAGGAGGCAGATTTGGTGCTTTAAAAATTTTTTTTTGAGACAGAGTCTTGCTCTGTTACCCAGACTGGAGAGCAGTGGCTTGATCTCGGCTCACCGCAACCACCACCTGGGTTCAAGCAACTCTGCTGCCTCTTCCTCCCAGCTTTTTTTTTTTTTTTGAACAGACAGGGTTTTGCCATTTTAGCCAGGCTGGTCTTGAACTCCTGACCTCAGGTGATCCGCCTGTCTCGGCCTCGCAAAGTGCTGGGATTACAAGAGTAAGCCACCCTGCCAGGCCTGGTGGTTGACTTTATACATAACTGGATGGGCAGGTGGCTTCAAGCCTGTTTGCTCATCCATGAAATGGGGGTTCCACTAAAAAAACCATGTGAAAACTCTTGGAGAGAGAACAGAGCTGGGGGCATGGGTTGTGACCCTTCCTCCCTACCCACCCCCAACCAGCCCATAAGCCTGGAACCTCCACACTCCTTTCAGAGACAGATGGAGCGTCAGCAACCGCCCCCGGATTCACAACACACAAAAAGAGCCCAGGGGCACCTGGCCACTCCCCGCCCAGGGGAAGGAAGAAAAAGTTAGAAAGAAGTTACTAAGTTACTGGTAACTGCTAGTCTTTGGGGTGGGGTTTCCAACCCTTCCTCCCCCATCCGCCAGTGGGGCTGCAGGGCAAAGGATTCCTACAAGGAGGGGAGGCAGGGAGCCCCCCAATTCCCCGGAGGTACGTACATGGGGGTGTGGGGCACATCTTTTCGTGTCCCCCCACCTGTGTCCTGCTGGCCCCCAGCACAGCTGGAGGCCATGCATGCCCTTGGGAGGTGCATTAATGGGACACCAAGCCCCCCTGTGACAATAGGGAACCTCCCACAGCCTGCTCCTCCCTCTTCACACCCACTTGGAAGTAAAAGGAGGGTCAGTTGGCCCAGACTCCCAGGCTCCGGAGAGGGGACAGAAGGGGCAGCAGAGAGGGGCAGAAGGAGAGAGTGTGGGCCAGGCAGAGTTTCTTGTCACTGGGTCTCCCAGCTATGGGGACCTTTGACCTGTGGACAGATTACCTAGGTTTGGCACGCCTGGTTAGGGCTCTGAGTGGTAAAGAGGGGCCTGAGACCAGGCTGAACCCCCAGCCAGAGCCAGAGGAGCCAGTGCCAGAGCCGGTGCCAACACCAGGACCCCAGGAGGAGAAGCACTGCCTGGAGCCCTCGCCAGCTCCCGAACGTCTGTGTTCTTTCTGCAAACACAACGGGGAGTCCCGGGCCATCTACCTGTCTCACGTGCTGAAGGACGAGGCCGGCAGGGTGCTGTGTCCCATCCTGCGGGACTACGTGTGCCCCCAGTGTGGCGCCACACGTGAGCATGCCCACACCCGACGCTTCTGCCCACTCACTGGACAGGGCTACACCTCGGTCTACAGCCACACCACCCGAAACTCGGCGGGCAAGAAGCTGGTCCGGCCTGACAAGGCGAAGACACAGGACTCGGGCCACCGCCGAGGAGGAGGAGCAGGTGACTGCACTGGTGGCTGGCCGGGGGGAACCTGTCCCAGGGTAGGGGCTGAGCCCTCTGTGAAGTAAAATTAGCCCCACTACCTACCTCCAACGGTTGGGGGAAGACTAACTTAGAGAGAGGTTAGAACAGCAGTTTATTTTATTATGTATTATTACTGTTTTTTAGATGAGTCCCGCTCTTGTCACCCCAGGCTGGAGTGCAATGGTGTGATTTCGGCTCACTGCAACCTCTGCCCCCTGGGTTCAAGCAATTCTTCAGCCTCAGCTTCATGAGTAGCTGGGATTACAGGCACCTGCCACCCCACCCGGCTATTTTTTGTACTTCTCGTAGAGACGGGGTTTCAGCATGTTGGCCAGGCTGGTCTTGAACTCCTGACCTCAGGTGATCCACCCCCCTTGGCCTCCCAAAGTGCTGGGATTACAGGTGTGAGCCACTGTGCCCAGCCCGAAAAGAAGACTTTTATGATTTTATTTTTACTTATTTTTATTTTTTATTTTTCTTCGAGATGGAGTCTCACTTTGTCGCCCAGGCTAGAGTTCAGTGCTGCTATCTCAGCTCATTGCAACCTCCACCTCACGGGTTCAAGCAACTCTGCCTCAGCCTCCCGATAAGCTGGAATTGCAGGCATGCACCACCATGCCTGGCTGATTTTTTGGAGTATTTTTAGTAGGAACAGGATTTCACCATGTTGGCCAGGCTGATCTTGAACTCCTGACCTCAAGTGATCTGCCTACCTCGGTCTCCCAAAGTTCTGGGATTATAGGCAGGAGCCGCTGCGCCCAGCCGGTCATTACAGATACAGAAAGAACTGACCGGGCGCGGTGGCTCACATCTGCAATCTCAGCACTTTGGAAGGCCAAGGCGGGCAGATCGCTAGGTCGGGAGTTCAAGACCCGCCTGACTAACATGGTGAAACCCGTCTCTACTAAAAATACAAAAATTGCCCTGCGGTGGTGGCGCGCACCTGTAAACCCAGCTACTTGGGAGGCTGAGGCAGGAGAACCCCTTGAACCGGGAGGTGGAGGTTGCAGTGAGCCCAGATCACGCCATTGCACTCTATCCTGGGCGACAGAGCAAGACTCTTGTCTCCAAAAACAAAAGAATGAAAGCCTCCAGGAGAAGACAGTGTTCCCTGTGAGGTTTGACGCGGTTCCACTGGGAGATGCTGGAGGCTAAAAGGGCATAGGGAAAGATGGCGTCAGAATTTTCCGTTTTTCCCTTTAAGCCGTAGGTATTGCTTTCCTGGGCTTGGAGGCCGGGGCCGGGGGAGCCCCCACCACCGCATTGGCACAGAAAGGCTGCCTGCGGCCGGCCTCCCTGGTTAACTTCTGGGGGACCCCAGAGCCCGGCGGCCACGAGAGGGCAGCATGGTCGCGGAATCGGAACTCCGGCGCTTTGTCTCAGCTCTGGGTCCCGTCGAGGCCTCGCGACGGAGCCGGGGACGTAACGGGCTCGCCGTCTCCGGAGCAGCCCCTGGGTGGCGCCAAAGCCCCGGCAGCCCCGGAGGCCGAGTCCTTGGGTAACGTGGGGAGCACTGAGTCATCGCCTGTGATTAAGTATTTCTCTACCTCCTCCTCCGCCAGGTTTCAGAGGTGCCGGGAAGTCTGAGCCTTCGCCCTCCTCCGGCTCTCCTTCCATGTCCACCTAGGAGGCCGGTGCGGGGAGGCCGCCTACACCCGGGGAAGGGCACCTGGGCTCCGCTGAATTTCAAGGAAGGTCACGTTAGGAGGATCGTCCCTACTCCGACGCTTCCCCCAGCTTGAGCTCGATCCCTGGGACGCAGGTGCTGTCTGGGGTTGTCAAAGGAACAGCTGAAATCGCCCTGTCCCTGGGGGACCCCGCCCTTTCTGCCATGGCGTGTTCGGCTCACAGCTGCCGTCTCCCGGACGCTGCGCACCCAGTCAGCACTCAATAAATGCTTATGAATGGATCAGCGACGGACAAGGCCTGGTCTTGGGACAAGGTGTAGTGTGAACCTTGCTAGGAGTCCTGTACCCAGATCTCCCCTTGTTCTTCTCTGAATTCCGGGATCCTGGGGTGCCGGGGTGGGCTGCTTTGTGCAGAGAAACCTTGGGGTAGCCTGGGGGGGGTACGGGCACCTCAAAGCCAGATTGAGATCATGAGACCCTTTCTGTGGACATTTGGTCTTTCCAAACTCTCCTCCAGCCACCCCCTGCACTGACATGTAAGATGGGTGGACTCCCCCCATCTCACCCCAGCACAGTACTGGAGGTGGGGGCTTCATTTGAGGAAGAAATCGAGGGACGGCTAGACAGGCCCCCCATCCTCCTTATGAAGGAAGGTGAATGTGTATGTCATGGATGTACCAGTGACAAGCCAGGCAGTTTAGAGCAAGGGAGGGACACGGGGGCAGAGAATGGGACCATTCCTGGGGGTTGGGCAGGGGTGGGGGCCTGGGTGGGTTTGGGCAGGAGCGGGAGAGGAGTGGGCTCTGTTATCCTGGCAGGATAAGGGAATGGGGGGTTGCATATGAGGGAATCCCCACGCCCCTGCCTGCCTCCTCCACCCCCAGATATTGTCCTGCTGGGGTGACAGGTGGCAGTGCTTAGGAAGCCAGAGGCACCCACTGTGCAGTCCACATTCTACCCTCAGTCCACAAACCGGCCCTGGGGTCTGGGCGCTGGGCCCACACAGCCTCCTGTGGTCTGGGCAGGGAGCAGGAGGCTTTCTGACTTGAACTGGAACTAGAGGCCCCGGGGATGGGGGTGGGCCTTTGCAGACAGCTGGGGCTTGGAGGGGAGGAGGGAGGGGGAAGTGGAGAGGAGGAGAAAGGGAACAGAAGGATCCCAGTGGCCCCCAGGGTCTGGGAATGGAGTTAGGGTTTCCTGGGGCAGAGCCGCGGGGGAGGAGAGCTGGGGGACTGGGCTCACACCAAGGCAGGCATGTCCTGGTGGGCAGGGGCTCATAACCCACCCCCCTGCTCTTTTCTCCCCTCCTGCTTCAGGACGCCAGGGTGTAAGATCACAGGGTGGGAAGCAGATCCTGCTTGGGCTGTGGGAGCTGGAGGGCAGGAGTCATAGAGTGCTTCAAGATGGCAAAGGTCCAGTCAGCCTTTCCGTGACAGGTTTCACAGAGGCATAGTTTGCTGTAAACAGGGAATGACAGCAGCATCGGTGGCTGCTACAGGATTGTCATCTGGCTGTTGCGAGGCTTGCGAGGGATGAGGGGTAGCAGGCCTTGAGCTGTGTTTGCATCATCACAACCTCCCGGGATGGCCCCCTTCCTGGCTGGGGCCTGCAGGCAGCTTGTCCGGTGAGGAGGGGCTAGGCCACCTGAGCGCTGGACTCAAGCCCTGCAGCTGTTGATCGCCCAGGGCGTCTCTTAGGCTTCTGCTCCACAGGTACCTGCGTGAGTGCTCAAGGACCTGCATGGACACCGGCACACGGTCACCTGGCCCTGGAGACTCGACCCCCCACCTTGCTTTCCCAGGGAAGTTAAGGCATAAAACTTGCAGACGGTGGGAGGAGGAAGTGGGTAGAGAGGTTTGTGGGCAGAAGGTGAAGGAACTGAAGCCTCAGCCCCAAACACCACATGGGGCCTCATTACGGAACCATTTATTATGGGTCTTCCCAGAAGAAATAAAATGGAAATCGTGAGAAGGAAAACAAAGGGAGCTCTTTTCTCCAGGAAAGAAACAAATTCTGAACCTTCCATAACCTTGACTCGGGAGCCTAACATTTGCAAATCCAAACAGGATGGGCCCTGCTTGGAGGCGGCCGGGGCGGGCTTCCTAGAGTTCAGTCCCGCCTGAAGCCAAGGGGGCTGCTGACCTTGACCCTGGCCAGTCCTCGGGGTCTCTTTTGTGTTGTCCATTAGAGACCAACTTCCGGGCAACTGAAGGGGGTTTGTGGGGTCCATTAGGACCCCCGGGAGCATCTTGGAGGAGATCAAAAGTACCAGGTTGCCCATGGGGGCCCACAGGCATGGGGGCCGGTGGCAGAGGAAACAGACCTCAAAGCCGCCGACAACTCCCTCCAGGGTTGGTCCCCTCGAGGGACATCCCCTGGCCCCTTTGAAGGGTAAGGCAGGGGGCTTTGCCTCCTGGCTTTGTCTTCCAGTAGTTGAGGCGCTTGAAGGCTTCCAGGTCCCGGTGGGTGCCCATGATCAGCCGGCTGTGGAAGAAACAGGCATGTGTGTGGGGCTCAGCGGTCACCAAGTGACAGAGGGGGCCGAGCCTCACAGCCACATGGTCACTGATGACTCAGAGGTACACACACAGCTCACACATGTGCACACAACTAGAAAGCGCCTGTGGCAGCACAGGCTGGGCCGGTTCCAGCCCTTCAGAGCCCATGTTCTGCAAAGGACAGGGGAGGGGGGGGCATGCCGAGGGCCCAGCAACAGTGGGGTGACCCTCGCAGTCCGCCCAGGGGCTTTGCACTTCAGTCCCTCCCTGCTCCTCTGGGTCCCCACTGGCCTCCCGCAGCCCCCCTGCTTTGTGAGTCCAAGCCCTCCCCATACTTCAGGTTGGAGAGCTCAACGATGAGGCCACGCACGATGTTGGTGGCATCCTCCATCCTGGGGGCCTCACAGGCCTGGATCCCCACAAAGGTCCTGGCAGGCAGGGAAGAAGCAGGGAAGAAGTTGAAAGTGGCCCAACCTCACCAGACTACCAGAGCTCTCCAGGAGGAGGGGCTTCCGCCGGCCTCGCGCCAGCCTTTCCAGGTGTCCAGCCTGTCCTCTGTTCATGACAGGGCCCTGATGGCCAACCCAGCTGGCTCTACCACCCATCAGGCCCAGAACCCAACCCCTTCTCCCCTGCCTCCCCCTGCCCTCTCAGGACGGTGCAGGGGCTGCTGCAACTGCCTCCCCAGCTCCTAATCCTGCAGCTTGCTCCCCGCATGCACCGGACATTGAATGTGGAAACCTGGCTCAGAGGCAGGCCCTCCCCTCCCAGTGGTCCACCCCCCCCCGGCCCTGTACCACCTGCCTGCCCCGTGCCCTCTCCTCGTCCCCCCTTCTCCCCTCCCCCCTGCTCCAGCCACACTGGATTTCTGGCCATTCCTGGAGCACCTCTCACTCAAGACAGTGGAATGTGCTTTCCCTAAAGTCTCCTCCTCGGTGGTGGGGGGTGGGCGGTGGCTCCCCTGAGCACCCCTTGCATTTTAACTCCTTCTCTGCTACCTTTTTCTCCCCAGCACTCTGCCATCTGATCATCTAATCTGCTCTCTCATGTCCTCACACCCTGAATCCCCCACTAGCACCAAACTGTGTTTTCCCACGCTGCCTCACCAGCACCCAGGGCAATGCCAGAAAAGCTGGCCCTGGATGGCATTCATATCCATGGAAGGTTTGGGAGGCCCGGGCGGGAGGATGGCTTGAGCCCAGGAGTTCAAAACCAGCCTTGGCAACATAGTGAGACCCCAGCTCTACAAAGAATACAAAATTGGCCAGGCTGCTGCTGCATGCCTGTGGTCCCAGCAACTCAGGAGGATGGTGGGAGGATCACTTGAGCCCAGGAGACGGAGGCTACAGTGAGCTATGATCGCACCACCACACACCAGCCTGGGCAACAGAGCAAGATTCTATATCAAAAATATACTGCCAGGCACTGTGGCTCATGCCTGTAATGTCACCATGGCAAAATCTCATCTCTAAAACAATATACAAAGTTAGCCGGGCATGGTAGTGGGCACCTGTAGTCTCAGCTCTTTAAGAGGCTGAGGTGGGAGAATCACAAGAGTGAGCCCAGGAGAGGCCGCAGTGAGTCAAGGTCGTGCCTCTGCACTCCAACCCGGTGATGGGAGTGACACTGTGTCTCAAATTAAAAAAAAAACACGGAAGAGCAGAGCAGAAGAGCCACAGAACAGCTGCCACTCAGACACGGGCAGTGGAGGGGCGGGTGGGGAAGTGGGAGTCACTCGCCCATGCCCTAGGCTTGGCAGCACCTCTGGGACTGTCGCTTCAGAAACGGCTGTCCTGCTCCTCCTGCCTTGGTCACCCCGAGGTGGCTGGCAGCCTCTGGGCCTTAGCCTCTTGTGTGTGTCATTCAGCCTTAAGCCACCAAACTAGACCCCAGGACCCTCTGGGAGCTTCCAGACATCCAGGGTGGTGGGGAGGGGAGCTGCATTGGCCCAGACGTGAAATCTTCCTGCCATTCACTCAAACCGCAGCGTCCCGCTCTGATAAACTGCCTCTGGTCCACATGCAGGTTGTGTGTGTGGAAGAAGGAGGCGGCCAGTGGCACACAGGTGCAAGTCCCGTGAGGGCAGAAGATGGGGACAGAGCCACCTTCTGCTGGGGGGGAAAGTAAGAGGAGCGGGAGGACGAAGAGAAGGAAGAGGGGAAGGGGAGGGGGAAGGGCAAAGTAAGGGCCACACAGCCAAGGGCTGAGTCCCAAAAAACCCTCCTCCACCCCCATGCCCCTCCCCCTACCAGACAGAAACAGAAACTTGGCCACAAATAATTGATAGGCCACTGCCTCTGCAAAGAGGCAGGTTCAAGTACCAGGTAACAGAAAGAGTGGCTGGCTGCCCAGTGCTGGTGGCAAGGAGGGCTGCAGGAGGGCAGGGGAGGAGGGGACAGGCTGCAGGGATCCTGGGCATGGTGTAGAGGAGAGGGTGCCCTCCTCACACACAGCAGGCTGGAGGATGGCTCAGCGGGTGGCCTGTGGGAGGGAGGAAGTGTATCACCTGGGGCAGGAGCCAAATGGGCAGGGGAGGAGGTGAGGGCAGGTTAGACTCACTCGAACACCCGCCTGGTGCCAGAGCTAGTAACAGCTCCAAGATAGTCTCAGCCACCGGTTCTCAGGACTGTCTGTGTCCCCTCCCCTTCCCAGAGACTCAGGAGGAAGCTCTGGCCCCTCCTCCCAGAGAGAAACAACCCACAGAGCCAGGGGCACTATCCCAGGGCTCCTGTTTGGGTGCCCATCACTGGTCACTGTAGCCTGTTCCTCTGCTTTTAGGGATCAAGGGAACAGTTTAAAAAACAGGGCTCAGCTCCCCTGTTGGAATGAGGAAGTTGAGGCCCAGGGAGGGAGAACTGAGGTCCCTCCATCTGTCACCCTCCGTGATAAAATTGGTGAGTGTCCTGGAGCCCCTTCTCCCCGACCCCACACCTACCTCGGCTGGGCCCTGGCCACTGCAACAGGGTCTTCACTGGCATGTGGGCTGGGGCCAGGCCAGCAAGGGCCTGGCTTGCTCCCCGAAGGAAAGAGCTGGAAAGAGAGCACAAGGTGTGAGCAGCCAGGCCCGGGTTGGGCAAGCTCTGCACAAGGGAACCATTAGTCACGCTGGCACCTCTGGCTTCACCGTGGCCACAGCAGGTCACACCGGGGGCAGCTGGGGCTCCTGCAGAGGAAGACAAGGACCAGGGAAGAACTCTGCGATGGGTAGACCCAGGGCTACCAGCCTGGGCCGCACCTGCCGTTTCCCCTCAGAAAGAAAAAGGCCACAGCAATGCCAAACCCAACCTTGGTGTCCGCTCCTGGGCCCGGCACTCCCACAGGCTGATCTGGGCAGTGGGGAGCCCCACTGTGCCACGAGTTCTCTGGCCCTGACACCGCTGCAGAGAAAACACCGAGGAGTGGCAACTGAAGTGAAGTGAGTCGTCTACCTTGGCTGAGTAAGCCCCACATATCCATTAGGAAAAGAGTTTGCAAATCGAACATGAGGGGAAAGTCCCAGTGAATACAGGGGAAAGCCGCCAGGTGACTCCAAGGGTGGTTTAATTTCTGTGGGAAATTGTCACGCTCCATCACTGTGGTGACCTACAATGAGCCACTCTGGGCATGGTGGCTCATGACTGTAATCCCAGAACTTTGGGAGGCTCAGGTGGGAGGATTGTTTGAGGCCAAGAGTTCCAGACCAGCCTGGGCCACATAGCAAGACCCTGTCTCTACAAAAAAATACAAAAATTAGCTGGTCATGGTGGCGCTGCCTGTGGTCTCAGCTACTCAGAAGGCTGAGGCAGGAGCTCGGGAGGCTGAGGCTGCAGTGAGCTAAGTGAGCTGTGACTGTGCCACTGCACTGCAGCCTGGGCAACAGAGCAAGGCCCTGTCTCTAAAATTTAAATTAAATTAAATGACTCTGAGAGAGTGGGATGTCTGGCTTCCCAGTGGTAACCTTTGTTGCGCCAGGGACAAAAAATGAGAATTAAATATGGGTGATGTTGAGAAAGGCAAGAAGATTTGCGTTCAGAAGTGCTCCCAGGGCCACACCGTGGAAAAGGGAGGCAAGCACGACTGGGCCTCATCTCCACTGTATCTGTGGGGGAAGACAGGTGGGGCCGCAGGATTCTCTTACACTGACGCCAATAAGAACACAGCCATCATGGGGAGAGGATCCACTGAGGGGATATTTGGAGATTCACAAGAAGTACATCCCTGGAACAAAAATGATCTTTGCTGGCATTAAGAAGGGAGAAAGGGCAGATTTGATAGCTTATCTCAAAAAAGTTACTAATGAGTAATAATTGGCCACTGCCTTATTCATGCGCACCACACTCTGTCTGGTACTCCGCCTTACTCATGCGCGCCACAGTCTGGTACTCCGCCTTACTCATGCGCGCCACACTCCGTCTGGTACTCTGTCTTATGCGCACCACAGTCTGGTACTCCGTCTTATGCGTGCCACACTCCGTCTGGTACTCCGTCTTACTCATGCGCGCCAAAGTCTGGTACTCCTCCTTATGTGTGCCACACTCCGTCTGGTACTCCGTCTTACTCATGCGCTTCAGTCTGGTACTCCGCCTTATTCATGCGCGCCACAGTCTGGTACTCCGCCTTACTCATGCGCGCCACACTCCGTCTGGTACTCCGTCTTATGTGCGCCACAGTCTGGTACTCCGCCTTATGCGTGCCACACTCCGTCTGATACTCCGTCTTACTCATGCGCGCCACAGTCTGGTACTCCGCCTTACTCATGCGCGCCACACTCCGTCTGGTACTCCGTCTTATGCGCGCCACAGTCTGGTACTCCGCCTTATGCGTGCCACACTCCGTCTGATACTCCGTCTTACTCATGCGCGCCACAGTCTGGTACTCCGCCTTATGCGCGCCACACTCCGTCTGGTACTCCGTCTTATGCGCGCCACACTGATACTCTGCCTTATTCATGTGTACATACACATATCTCATGACTTTTTTATGTGTACCATACTTTAATAGATCTCATTCACCAGAATTTACATAATGAACGAATGACAGAATATTTTGTTGGGCAGTCCTGATTTAAAACTAAGACTGGCCTGTGGTTAAATGAGTATGTTCGATTTTTGAATTTTTCTTTTTTTTTTTTTTTGAGACGGAGTTTCGCTCTTGTTACCCAGGCTGGAGTGCAATGGCGCAATCTTGGCTCACTGCAACCTCCGCCTCCTCGGTTCAGGCAATTCTTCTACCTCAGCCTCCCGAGTAGCTGGGACTACAGGCGCGCGCCACCATGCCCAGCTAATTTTTGTATTTTTAGCAGAGACGGGGTTTCACCATGTTGACCAGGATGGTCTCGTTCTCTTGACCTCGTGATCCACCCGCCTCTGCCTCCCAAAGTGCTAAGATTACAGGCGTGAGCCACCGCGCCCGGCCTCAATTTTTGGATTTTAATAGTAATTCCCATTTAGCAAATGCTATCACTGTTTACCCCTTCTAAAGATAATGATTAGACTTCGTTAGTAACAATGTTACACTTTTCACAAAGATGGTGAGTGCCATCTTAAAACTTACTGGAGACTGGTTTTATATTTAGATTTATGTAACTGGTTATGTGAATATATTTAAATATGGGGAAATTCCTTCCCTGTCGCAGAACCAAGCAAGGTTCACCTGTGTTTTGTGTTCATTTGCCTCTTAAAGGCAAGAGTTGAAGAGAAAGGGGTAGCAATGGCTACTTTATATTTTGGCCTTAACTATCTAATGAGAATTCCCTGTATTTAAAAGGTTTTTACTTATTGAAAGTGGTTTATGTGTAATATCAAAAATTATTTAACACCACACATTTTATAGATGATCTATAAGGTCACATGCTTTTAAAATAGTAGCCAACTACATGTCACTCTTGAATTCTTCACAATCTGAGTCAAACTAAGTTGTCATTTAGGATTGTCTTTCAACACCATTCAGAAACAAAACTGTAGAACTGCTGTGTATTTGCGATTGGGAATGGTGCTTTTGCCCACTTAAAAGGATTAAAGTAGAGGAGATAGACACAAATTTAAAAGTTATGTGTGATCATAAGACCTAACATAATTAAAAAGAAAACCACAGATCATGAAAAAATAAATTAAATGACTCCATATGCAGAGGCTTCACCGGCCTAGGAGCGAGTGCAGAGGAGCTATGAGAAAGTAACAGCACACCCTCCTGTGACAAGACCTTGCGGTTTGAGGTTTGAAAGCTGTCTCTGCTGTGTCCCTCCGAGTCCCCTCCTCTAGCACAGTGTGTGACCACAGTGAGGTCAGGAGGAGGTGCTGAGATGGTCCTCTTGATCTGTCTTTGCTGTTCCCGGGTGCCCCTGCCCACGCCAGGAGACATGGGCCTCAGCCTTCCTGCCAGGAGCTGCCCAGAACCTTCCCACGGGAACGTGTTCCTTGCCTGGGTTGCCTTGTCTTGCTGGGGAACGCCTGGTGTCAAAACCAAACATGCCCAGGCCCTGGCAGTGCTGTTGGGCGGGGCCTCCTCCCCTGGCCGGGGAAAGGCTGCTGATGCTGGTCGGGTCTGACCACCCTGGCTGTCTGTCGGGACCCCCCCGAGTCTGGATTTCGGGGTCTTTCTCCAAACTCAAAGTTTGGCAGCCCGTTTAGGAGGGCTCGGGCTTCACCTGCTAGATGCCACCTTGGCACACTTGGCCACACACACTCTAATCATTCCCCAGCCTTCTCTCCAAGCCACTGCCCACGAGACCACAGACTGGAGGCATTGGAGGCAGCTCTGCTCTTGAGCTAGGGATTTGCATTTTTCAGGTGTGAGGCTCTCATAAAATTTCAGCTGAGCCCAGCACCTGAACTCCTGCCTTTCCCAAGTGCTTGTGTTCAGGCTCTACCACTGAACCACACTGTGACTCCCAGTTTTTTTTTTTTTTTTTGAGACAGGGTTTCACTTTGTCACCCAGGCTGGAGTACAGTGGCACGACTCAGCTCACTGCAACCTCAACCTCCTGCTCCAGTGATTCTCCCTCCTCAACCTCCCGAGTAGCTGGGACTGCACTCATGTACCCCCAAGCCCGGCTAACTTTTTTTTTTTTTTGAGATAAAGTTTCGCTCTTGTTGCCCAGGCTGGAGTGCAATGGTGTGATCTCGGCTCACAGCAACCTCTGCTTCCTGGGTTCAAGCGATCCTCCTACCTCAGCCTCCCAAGTAGCTGGGATTACAGACATATGCTACCACACCTGGCTAATTTTTTATATTTTTAGTCAAGATGGGGTTTCTCCATATTTGGTCAGGCTGGTCTCAAACTCCCGACCTCAGGTGATCCACCTGCCTTGGCCTCCCAAAGTGCTAGGATTACAGGTGGGAGCCACTGTGCCTGGCCATGAATTTTTTTTTTTTTAACATTTGAACACAAGGACAGTCAAAGAAACAGAAGCTGACATGTGAAAAACAAATTGGGCTCTGTGTTCCAGGACACAGCGGCTGGGGCACAACCTCCTCCCCTCCTGCCTGCCTCACCTCCAGCAGGTGCAGGAGCTCCTCCAGTCTTCGCTGCCACACCCAGTATGTGCACAGAGAACCGCCTACCTCCCAGGGCGTGGCTGTGAAGCCCTCAGCCCAGGCTCAGGTGTGCCAACGGCTGGGGAGATCGCTCTTCCCCTGGGGGCAGGGCTGAAGCAAGGCTGCCACCTGCCCAGACAGAACAAGCGCCAACAGCTGGCACTGGCTCTGGAGCCAGAGAAGGCCACATCCGGGCAGCGTTGCTGGGGGGCAGATCCCTGAAGGAGGGAAAGCCCTTACAAGTTCCGGCAGAAAAACAAAATTACTTAGGTATGTTTGGGAAAGAATCATATCAGGATCTTCAAAGGACCCTAAGGAGATGGGCAAAGCCTCTTTGGCAGCTTGGGAGTGAAGCCCCCTCCCCAGGCCCAGCTATGAAGTCGGCCCCAGGCCCAGCTTCTCCCCATGGCCCCGCTGTGTCTGCAGCCCTCAATACATCTCCTGAGACCCCATGGCCAGGGTCAAGCACTGAAGTGGAAGTGCCAGGGGCTGTCACTCCTGGGAACTCCAGTTCAATGCAGGAGGCCCTGGCTGAGAACGCAGCTTTCTGTCACCACCCTGGATGTGTCAACAACCACCACAAGGCAGGTCTGCACTTTCTGGAAAACCACACCCACTAGAGCTCCTAGGCAGTGGTTGCGTAAATGGAACACCATGAACCCCAGCTCCCCCTCCACCACTGTGCTGTGTGAGGAGGGGCCTGTGGATGTTGGGTACCTGCCCTGGGCAGGTATGTCTGTCACTCGGGGCAGCTCTCACCTGCTCAGGTGGGGCTTCGAAGTCAGAGGCATCCAGGGCATCCTGTAACTGGCTGTCTGGCAGGAAGTCAAGTTCCAGGGCTGAAGAGTCTGCCCAGGTGGCCTGGTCTGCAGAATGAGGCAGGTGGTCTCGCTGCCCTGCTGGGTCCAAGGTGGTGTCTGGATCACCCGGCTGGGTCCCAGGCTCCTGAAGAGGGCCGTCCGTTGCTTCTTTGTGTTCCAGCAGAACAGAGGCTTCTGGGGACAGACCGAGCCCCTCGAGGTCTTGTTCAAGGTTCTGGCTGCCTGTCTCGGCTGCCTCTTGGGCAGGGCCTGGCTCCTGCTTCTGACTGACACATGGACCTGTGTCCAGGGCTGGATGGCTGGAATCTCCAGCCCCCATCATGGGCTGTCCGCTCCCAGGTGCCAGAGCCAGGGAGGCTGCAGGGCCCACTGGGATGTCATCGGGGGGGTTGTCGTCCTGCCCTGCCTCCCCTCTCCCTCCTGTGGTTTCCCCAGTGAGTGGGGTGCAGCCTGGCAGGACTCTCCCGTGGCCTCCATCATCAGCCTTCCTCTCGGGAGAGGCAGGTGACATGGCGCTAACCTGCCTGTCAGGCCCAGCCACCTCCAGAGCCTTCTCTTCCAGCTCAGTGGGGTCTGTGCTCAGGTCTGTGATGACACCCATACTGAGGGAGGAACATTCCAGGCTGCTATGAGTCCCTTCCCTTTCCCTGCCCACCCTGCTGGGGGTCTGCTGGGAGTCGGGGGAGCCCTGGGCCACAGACCCGGGTTCCAGACACCAAGAGGCAGGGCCCAGTCCCAAAGCAGGGCCCGAGGTAGGAATTGATGGTGGGGCACAGGGGATATCGCCTCCCTCCTCCTGGGGCCCTCCAGGAAGGCCAGCCCCTGCTGTCCTTTGGGCTCCTCCCTCCTGGGGGGCTCCTCTGTCTGGCTCCTTCCCTTCAGAATCACTGCTTGGCAGGTGTTCCATTTGGCCAGGATCACCTGGAGCCCTCTCTGTCTCAGGCCTGCTATTGTCGGTCCCTTGTTCTGACAGGTGGTCCTGGCTGGCCCTCTGTGAGGCAGACCACCCCGTCCCCCTGCCTGGAGGGTCCTCAGGCTGAGAATCCCCACTGCTGGACACAGCTTTCACAGGGCTCTGGCTGCTCTGCTTAGGATGGGCACCGTCTGCCTGCATTGGGTCCCCTGGCTCTGTGGCCTCCTGGAAGGGGAGCCCCAGAGTCTCGGCTAGGAGCTGGTATCCTGACTCCTGGGCGCTGGACTCTGGGAGTGTTTCCTGTGGAGAGAAAAAGACTCAGCCCCAGGGCCTTTGACAACCAAGTTCTCTGAAGAGTTTTCTATTAGGTTGCCCTAAAAGTAACTGTGGGTTTTGTCATTACTTTTAATGCCAAAAACTGACTGGGTGCAATGACTCACGCCTACAATCCCAGCACTTAGGGAGGCTGAGGCAGGTGGATCTCTTGAGGTCAGTTCAAGATCAGCCTGGCCAACAGGGTGAAACCCCATCTCTACTAAATATACAAAAATAAGCCAGGTATGGTGGTACACACCTGTAGTCCCAGCTACTGGGGAGGCTGAGGCAGGAGAATCACTTGAACCTGGGAGGTGGAGGCTGTAGTGAGCCGAGATCGCACCACGGCACTCCAGGCTAGGCAATAAGCGATACTCCATCCATGTAAAAAAAAAAAAATTATTGTAGAGACAGAGTCTTGCCATGTTGCTCAGGCTGGTCAAGGGAAGTCCCAAAATGTTGGGATCACAGGCACGAGCCACTGCACCTGGTCGGTTGCTAGTTTTGGTGATGGACTGTAGCTATGCACAGAGTTAGCACTGGGAGAAGCCAGAAGGGAGAACACTGGAACTTCACTCTGTACTATTTTGCATGTTTAAAAAAATCGTGGTAAGACTGGGTGTAGTGGCTCATGCCAGTAATCCCAGCACTTCGGGAGACCAAGGCAGGTAGATCACTTGAGGTCAGGCATTCAAGATCAGCCTGGCCAACATAGCAAAACCAGGTCTCTACTAATAATACAAAAATTAGCCAGGCATGGTGGTACATGCCTGTAGTCCCAGGTACTCGGGAGGCTGAGCAGGAAGAGAATAGCTTGAACCCAGGAGATGAAGGCTGCAGTGAGCCAATATTGCACCACTGCACTCCAGCCTGAGCGACAGAGTGAGACTCCATCTCAAAAAATTAAAATTAAAAATAAATATTTCTGTGATGTGGGTCAAAAAAGAAAAATAAATAAATAAAACAGGCCAGGCGCGGTGGCTCATGCCTGTAATCCCAATACTTTGGGAGGCCGAGGTGGACGGTTCATGAGGTCAGGAGATGGAGACCATCCTGGCCAACATGGTGAAACCTCGTCTCTACTAAAAATACAGAAAAAATTAGCTGGGCGTGGTGGTGCACGCCTATAGTCCCAGCTACTCGGGAAGCTTGAACCCAGGAGGCGGAGATTGCGGTGAGCGGAGATCACGCCACTGCACTGTAGTCTGGGTAACAGTGCAACACTGTCTCAAAAAAAAAATTAAAGTTAAAAATAAAATAAAATATTGTTAATTGGCACATCACGCCTTTCTGAGTTTTTACCATCTCCATGAAACCTGGAGAAGGGGCTCTGGCCTTGACCCTGGAGGTGCGAATGCAGGCGTCCTGAATGCCTGCAACAGGCGCTAGAATGGTTGCATACTCCACACATCCATAGCACAGTGTACTGAAAACCGCAGGTGGAGAGGTGCAGGCCTCCCCATTTGCCAAAGAGCTCCAGGGTTAAATGGGGCTGCCGGGGCTGGGCCAGGAGGCTTCACGTGTGCTGGGCTCAGCCTGGCTGATTTTAGAGCCTTACCGCACTAAAGGGCCCACTCCCGAGGTCCTCATCCTTCATTCCTCCTGTTCTTGGCACTGTCTTCCTGGATTTTGCAAACTGGGGAACAAACCTGCCAACTGAGTTCTGTAAACCGGATACAAAAAGAACAAAGTGGCAGTAAAGATAAGGGAGGAATGAGGTCTCAGGAAGAAAGCAACCCCGAACTGCTCCTTTCTTACAGCCTCGGAGAACTCTGCCCTCGCCCTCCAGGCACCTTCCCTCCAGCCCCTGCAGACGGTGAGTGAGCAGTTGCTGACAATGAAGGGAGACACAGAGCCGGAACTTTAAGGGAGGCTTCTACATCCACTAGGCCCCAGGACAGGCTCACCTGAGAAGGAGGAAGGGGAGCTGGCTTCTTTTCTGGTTGATGGAGGAGCCTGCAGGGAGCTCCTGTTTCCTCGTTAGGAGAGCTGTGTAGGAAAAGAGAAAACCGAGGGGAATCTGAAGTCCTCCTAGGCTGTGTCTCACATATTAAGACAAACACAGAACAAATCCAAGAGGAAACTGGTGCCAACGGTCTCCTAGCCTGGGCGAGGTGGCTCAGGCCTTTAATCCCAGCACTGTGGGAGGTTGAGGCAGGTGGATACCCAGGAGTTCAAGACCAGGCTGGGCAACATAGTGAGACCCCATTTCTACAAAAAATTTAAAAATTAGCTGGACATAGTGGTATGTGCCTGTGGTCCCAGCTACTTGAGAGGCTGAGATGGGGAGGATCATCTGAGCCAGGGAAGTCTGAGGCTGCAGTGAGCTACGATCACACCACTGCACTCCAGCCTTGGTGACAGAGCAAGATCCTGTCTCAAAAAAAAAAGTCTGCTAGACGGAAAGCCCTGGAAAACTGCTTTAAAAGGATGGGATGGAGATGGAGAAGCAGTGACCTGAGAACATTTAACTGGCAAGGAGGGTGCAGAGTCCCACCTGGAGAATACGCTGCCCTTATAATCCCAGGAATTGCCTACTGAGCTAGGAAGAGGGATATTCCCATTTGGACAAACACTCCGGCCCTGACACAGCACATTCTAGGGAGAGAAAATTGTGGATGCAAGAAACATAGTGTCTCTAAAAACTAGTGAAACTTAGGGTTAGATTTAAATAAACATGGGCCAGGTGCAGTGGCTCACACCTGTGATCCCAGCACTTTGGGAGGCCAAGGTGGGCAGATCACTTGAAGTTAGGAATTTGAGGACAACATGCTGAAACCCCATCTCTACTAAAAATACAAAAATTAGTCAGGTGTGGTGGTGCATGTCTGTAATCCCAGCCTCTCAGGAGGCTGAGACAGGAGAACTGCTTAAACTCGAGGTGGAGGTTACAGTGAGCCGAGATGGTGCCACTGCACTCCAGCTTGGGTGAAAGAACAAGACCCTGTCTCAAAAAAAAATTAAATAAACATGGACATACATATGGTTTTGTTTTGGCTAGTTATTTTATTTCTTGTGGATATGGGGTCATCCTCGCTATGTTGCACAGGCTCCTCTCAAACTCCTGAGCTCAAGCGATCCTCTCACCTCAGCCTCCCAAAGTGCTGGGATTACGGGCATGAGCCATTGCACCCAGCCCTGATTGTTTTTCTTTTCTTGTCTTTTTTTTTGAGACTGAGTCTCGCTCTGTAGCCCAGGCTGGAGTACAGTGGCACCATCTTGGCTCACTGCAACCTCTGCCTCCCAGGTCCTAGTTCAAGCAATTCTCCTGCCTCAGCCTCCTGAGTAGCTGGGATTATCGACACGCACCACCATGTCCAGCTAATTTTTGTATTTTTAGTAGAGATAGGGTTTCACCATCTTGGTCAGGCTGGTCTTGAACTCCTGACCTCGTGATCCACCCACCTCAGCCTACCAAAGTGCTGGGATTACAGGTGTGAGCCACTGTGCCCAGCCCCTGATTGTTTTTCTTTTTTATCATTATTAGTTCACATATCAACAACTCCTTTGTTCCCTTCTTGATTAAGGAGGAGGAGGAGGAATGTGGAAGGTGGATGGATTTGACCAGCAGACAGAATGAGATACAGAATATGAATTCTGTAACCTTGAAAACTTCAATGTTATCTTTGCCCATATTTAAAACATCAATCCTTCTTTTCTTTTTTCTTTCAGATGGAATCTCGCTCTGTCGCCCAGGCTGGAGTGCAGTGGCATGATCTCGGCTCACTGCAATCTCTGCCTCCTGGGTTCAGTCGATTCTCCTGTCTCAGCCTCCCGAATATCTGGGATTACAAGCGTGCCACCACACCTGGCTAATTTTTGTATTTTTAGTAGAGACAGGGTTTTACCATATTGGCCAGGCTGATTTCAAACTCCCGACCTCAAGTGATCTGCCCACCTTGGCCTCCCAAAGTGCTGGGATTACAGGTGTGAGCCACCTCGCCTGGCCAAAACACCAACCCTTCTCACCAGCGGGAAAGCTAGAAGTGAAATCTGAGGGCCCTGAGCTCCGGAGGGAGTGGGTCACAGCACTAGATGGGTTGTGGGTCTCGTTCCCAAAGCACCGCTGTCTGCTGAGCTGCTGTGCTATGTGGACAGTCAGTGCAGAGACCTGCTGGAATGTTTGGAGCCACCTACCTGGAGACCACCTTTCCTGGTTCCTCCCCGTGCTGCTGTGTAGAAGGAACAGGTCCCAGCTTGCCCTCCAGCACCTCAGGGTGATGCAAACAGCCCAATGTGGAACTCTGGAGGTCCCCATCAGAGTCTTCTAGCCTTGGATTCTTTAGGGGTTTTGAAGGACAGATTCCTTCTCCTGGTTTAGAGATAGAGGAAGATGAAGGGGTGGGGGATACAGCATGTGCACTGCCATGGCTGACAATCAAACACAGCAAGGCCGCTGCCGTCTTGGAAGAAAGCAGGCTCATTCCAAGGGCATGAAAGCCCTGCTCTGAAGCTCACCTGATGAGTGAGAGAGGGGCTGGAACCCCTCCCAAAGGTGGGACTTACGAGCTTATGTGGCCATGAGATTCAAAGGCTTTTGCCTATGGACTGGCCATGGCTGAGGCTGAATCAGGAGGTGACCTGATCTGCCTCCAGATCACATGGAAGAATCTGGCTGGTCAACTCTCTCTCTGGGGAAGTGGTAAGAGGCGTGTAATGGGTCCCAGCCCCAACAACTCTGCAGAGGGTCCATTCCTGATTTCTCTACTGGACTCATGAAAGGGATTTTATGAGTCCATCTTCTACACTCCTCAGCTTTTCTGCAAGTATCTGATGTCCTGGGTCACCTCGTCTCCCCCACTACAACCAGGATGCACTCAAGAAGGGGCCAAATCCATCTCACTCTCTGCGGGGTCCCAAGTTCCTGTAAGAGCAACTTGCACACTGTTGGCGCTCAATACTTAGCACATGACTCAATAAATGCACACCACCAAGCGCAGACAAGACTATGTAGTACTCCAGTGTTCTGAGACATCTGCGAAGTAGCCATCCTGGGAAAACTGGGACCTGTAGCGACCGGGCACTGAAGAGGCGAGGCTTTAACCACCTCCTGGCCCCTTGCATTTCTGCACTAATTTCCCCATCACTACAAGCAATTGTGAGGTGTCTTATTCCAGCATTTGAGAGGCTAAAGATGCATACTGACATCTTTGTATATACAACACAGTGGCTCATGCCTGTAATCCCAGCACTTTGGGAGGCTGAGGTGGGTGGATCAACTAAGGTCAGGAGTTCAAGACCAGCCCAGCCAACACGACGAAACCCTGTCTCTACTAAAAATACAAAAATTAGTGGGGTGTGGTGGCAAGCGCCTGTAACCCCAGCTACTCGGGAGGCTGAGGCAGGAGAATCGCTTGAGCCCAGGAGGTGGAGGTTACAGTGAGCCAAGATAGTGCCACCACACTCCAGCCTGGGTGACAGAGCAAGACTCAGTCTCAAAAAACAAAAACAATAATTAATATATATATTACATGTAAAAATACATATATATTTGTGTTTAACATATACATAATTATAAATATGTTATAGTATATATTTATAATATATATTCATATATCATAAGACATATGCTTACATATTTATATGTGATATACTATATTATTTATTAAATATATACTATAAATATTATATATCCCACTATATTGCCAGGTTGTTCCCTGTGATCTAAAGCCAGGCCATGCCACCTCAGGATTCAGCCCAGCCAAATATGTAAATATATATATTTATACTGAATACATAAAAGATACATAACACATTATTTGTACATACTGTAGAGAATATATTCATTTTGTATGGAATATTTAATATATATTTTGTTTATATATTTTATATAGATATGGAGTAAACATATTTAAATGTGTATTTATATATTATATATAATTTTTCTTTCTTTGAGACAGGGTCTCATGTGGTTTCCCAGGCTGGAGTGCACTGAAGCAACTGCGGCCTACAGCAGTCTCGCCCTCCTGAGCTCATGCCCTCCTCCCACCTCAGGCCCCTCAAGTAGCTGGGACAACAGGTGTGCGCCACCATGCCTGGCTAAGTTTCTGTTTGTTTGTTTTGTAGATAGGGTCTCACTATGTTGCCCAGGCTGGTCTCGAACTCTGGGGCTCAAGTGATCCTCCTGTCTCAGCCTCCCAAAATGCTGGAATCACAGGCATAAGCCACCTTGCCTAGCCAGCATCTATTTTTTGAATGAAGAAAATTCCCTTACACAGAAACTTTCAATAGCAGCTGGCTTGCAAGACTTCCTCAAACCTGGCCCCAACCTAGTCATGTATTCAGTGAACAAATGAGAAGAGTTGACTCTAGTGAGTTCCGCACCAGACGCCATCCTAAGAACTTGTGTGTCTTAAGATAAAAGCTCAAGGGAGGGTGCTGCTGTTATGCCTTCCTTACAGAAGTAACCTTGAGCAATTCAGTATTATCTTTGCCCATGAATAAAATATCAGCCTTCGGCCAGGCTTGGTGGTTCACATCTGTAATCCCAGCACTTTGGGAGGCCAGTGTGGGTGGATCATGAGGTCAGGAGATCGAGACCATCCTGGCCAACATGGTGAAACCCTGTCTCTACTAAAATACAAAAAAACTAGCTGGGCGTGGTGGCGTGTGCCTGTAGTCCCAGCAACTTGAGAGACTGAGACAGGAGGATTGCTTGAACCCAGGAGGTTGAGGCTGCAGTGAGCCATGATTGTGCCACTGCACTCAGGCCTTGGGAACAGAGCTAGATCCTGTCTCTAAAAAAAATAAATAAATAATAACACTACCCAAACCCCAGGTAGACTCTTTCCAACCTCAGCTCTGCACTACACATACATCTTGAAGTAAATTTACTGAATGAGTTTCCTTTCCCTCGATGCCAATTGCTAGGGTCTGTCTCAGTCCTCACTCAGCTGTTTGCCCTCCACGAAACCACAGCGATCTTCCTATAATTGCTTCTAATTCTTTTTTTTTTTCAGATGGACTCTCGCTCTGTCAACCAGGCTGGAGTGCAGTGGCACAATCTTAGCACACTGCAACCTCCACCTCCCAGGTTCAAACAATTCTCCTGCCTCAGCCTCCCAAATAGCTGGGACTATGGGTGCAACCCACCATGCCCAGTTAATTTTTTGTATTTTCAGTAGAGACAGGTTTTCACCATGTTGACCACACTGGTTTTGAACTCCTGATCTCAAGTGATCTGCCAGCCTTGGCCTCCTAAAGTGCTGGAATTGCGGGCGTGAGCCACGGCGCATGGCCAGTTGCTCATAATTCTGTCAGTTACAGTTCAGGGGTGCCCATTTAGAACTTTATCCCAGTGCTGTGTATTTGCTTAGCTCTCCCTGGGAGAAGCATTTTCCTTTGCCCCGACTAGAGCAGAGGATCTCCAGGGCAGGAACTGAGTGTGCTGCATCCTTTGATCTCCTCCTCGCCCTGCCCTGCCCACTTAGGTATCCGCCTCAAAGGACTTAGCACCCCAAGTAAGGCTTGGATGGATGTTGCTTACAGAAACACATTCCTACCATCAGGGCGAGGTGGCTCACACCTGTAATCTCACTACTTAGGGAGGGGGAGGTGGGTGAATCACTTGAGGTCAGGAGTTCAAGACTAGCCTGGCCAACATACTGAAACCCTGTCTCTACTACAAATACAAAAAATTAGCCAGGTGTGGTGGCAGGCACGACACACCTACTTAGGAGGCTGAGGCAGGAGAATCGCTTGAACCTGAGAGGCGGAGATTGCAGGGAGCCGAGATTGTACCACAGTACTCTAGCCTGGGTGACAGAGCAAGACTCTCTCACAAAAAAGAAAAAAAAAAAAAAACACATTTCGACCTTGTGGTCTGCCAGAAAAGACAAAATATAGCTGCTTTGTTTATTTGGTTTCTTGAGATTCTCAAACCCTTGCTCACTTGGCTGACTGAATGGTCATTTGTACCAAATAAAAAGGGAAAAAAATATCAAGGGCAGTGAAGAGTCTTCTCTTTCCTTCCTGTGATCTGTCCACATGGGACTAATTTAAGAAAAATTAAGGCAGAACTTTGTGTTCAACACCAAAGACCGAAGACACTGAGAGGGAAAAGGCCTCTTTCACCACCTGCCAGAATCTTCTTCCTCTCTCTCCACCCTTCCAGCACACACAGAAAGGGCGGTGTAGGGCCAGCCCAGAGGTCCACTGAGCTGGGGAGTCTACCGCCAACAGAGGCCCCAGGTGACCTGCTGTGGGTGGGCCTAGCTGTCCCCAGCTTCCCCCTCCAAGGTCAGAGAAATTCTGGTGCCTCCAAGCAGCCTGTTGCTCATCTCTGCACAAAACATGTTCAATCTGCTGATCATTTCCTCTTCTGCTCCGCAACTTGGGGGAAAAAATGAACGAGATTTCCTAAATTCATCAGCCACTAAATTGGAAAGTCATTTCAAAATATTGAAGAAATTTAAGTTACTTTAGAAAATGATAGGCAAATGGAACTCTACTACATCACACTGGGAGTTTGTCTAACTTGGTGTGTTCCTTTCTGCTTTTTAGACAGCGTCTCATTCTGTCGCCCAGGCTGGAATGCAACAGTGTGATCTCAGCTCTCCCCGGCTCAAGCGATTCTCCTACCTCAGCCTCCCAAGTAGTTGAGACTACAGGCACCTACCACCATGCCCAGCTAATTTTTTTTTTTTTTTGAGACAGAGTTTCACTGTTGTTACCCAGACTGGAGTGCAATGGCACGATCTCGGCTCACCGCAACCTCTGTCTTCTGGGTTCAAGCAATTCTCCTGCCTCAGCCTCCTGAGTAGCTGGGACTACAGGTGTGTACCACCATGCCCAGCTAATTTTTGTATTTTTACAAGGGTTTCACCTTGACCAGGATGGTCTCGATCTCTTGACCTCATGATCCACCCGCCTCGGCCTCCCAAAGTGCTGGGATTATAGGTGTGAGCCACCACGCCCGGCCGATTTTTTGTATTTTTAGTAGAGACAGGGTTTCGCTGTGTTAGCCAGGATGGTCTCAAACTCCTGACCTCATGATCACTCGCCTCGCTCTTCCAAAGTGCTGGGATTACAGGCATGAGCCACCACACCTGGCTGATGATTTTCTTTTCAAATGAAGACATTTTATAGGTATATTGACAAGTAAACATGGTCATGATACACTGCAAAGTGAAAAATGGAGGTTGCAGGTCAGTATGTGTGATGATTGTATTTTCTAATAAAAAAACTTTTTCTGGGCCAGGCACAGTGGCTCACGCCTGTAATCCTTGAGAGGCCAAGGCAGGCAGACCCCTTATAGTCAGGAGTTCAAGAGCAGCCGGGCCAACATGGTGAAACCCCATTTCTACTAAAAATACAAAAATTAGCCAGGTATGGTGGCACACATCTGTAGTCCCAACTACTTAGGAGGCTGAGGCGTGAGGATCACTTGAACCCAGGAGGCAGAGGTTGCCATGAACCAAGATTGGGCCACTGCACTAGGGCCTGGGTGAGAGTGAGATTCTGTTTCCAAAATAAATAAATAGATAAATAAAAATAAAAAACCAAAACCCCACCACTGTATCTGTATATATACAGAAAAAGTCTGACCAGGCGTGGTGGCACACACCTGTAATTCTCAGCACTTTGGGAGGTCATGGCAGATGGACTGCTGGAGCCCGGAAGTTCAACACCAGTCTGGGCAACATAGTGAGACGTCGTCTCTTCCAAAAAATACAAAAATTAGCCAGGCATGGTGGTACACACCTGTAGTCCCAGCTATTCAAATGGCTGAGGTGGGACGATCACCTGAGCCTGGGGAGGTCAAGGCTGCAGTGAGCTACAATTGCGTCACTGCTCTCCAACCTGGGTGACAGAGCAAGACTCTGTCTTGAAAAAAAGAAAAGAAAAAAAAATCTGGGTTAGGTGGCTCACGCCTGTAATCCCAGCACTTTGGGAGGCTGAGGTGGGCAGATCACGTGAGGCCAAGAGTTTGAGACCAGCCTGAGCAACATGGTGAAATCCTGTCTCTACCAAAAATAAAAAAATTATCCAGGAATGGTGGCACAATGCCTGTAATCCCAGCTACTCAGGAGAGTGAGGTAGGAGAATCGTTTGAACCCAGGAGGTAGAGGCTGCAGTGAGCCGAGATTGTGCCACTGCACTACAGCCTGGGTGACAGTGAGACTCTGTCTTTAAAAAAGTCTGGGCTGAGCGCATTGGCCCATGCCTGTAATCCCAGCATGTTGGGATGCTGAGATGGGCAGATCACCTGAAGTTGAAAGTTCGCCAGCATGGCGAAACCCTGTCTCTACTAAAAAAATACAAAAACTAGCTGAGTGTGGTGGTGGACACCTGTAATCCCAGCTACTTGGGAGGCCGAGGCAGTAGAATCGCTCAAACCTAGGAGGTGGAGGTTGCAGTGAGCCAAGATCGTGCCAGTGTACTCCAGCCTGGGCAATAAGAGCAAAACGTCTTCTCAACAACAACAACAAAAAGTCTAGAAGTAGTGAACTGAGGTTAGAGTCCTATCCTGCTTCTCATGCTGTTCTATAGCTGATCATCGTCCTATGGCTGTGCTAGATGTTAACATTAGGGAAAGCTTGGGGAAGGGTAGCTAGAACTCTCTGAATTATTTCTGCAACTTTTCAGTAAGTCCCAAATTACTTCAAAATAAAAGTTTTTTAAAAGACCTGGAAGAATAACTGTTAACAGCAGCATACATTTGTGTGCTACCTTAGGTCAGTGCTGGGTGCTTCACAGATACTAATCCACATGTGAGCTCTACAGGCAGGCTCCTCCACCTTGGGGGACATTTGGGGCTGGATCATTCTTTGTGGCTGGGAGCATGCTATGCGTGGTAGGATATCTGAGCAGCATCCTTGGCCTCCACCCACTAGATGTCAGTATCTTTTCCCGTTATGAAAACAAAAAAAAAGTCTCTAGGCCAGGAGTGGTGGCTCACACCTGTAATACCAGTACTTTGGGAGGCCAAGGTGGGCAGATTGCCTGAGGTCAGGAGTTTGAGACCAGCCTGGCCAACATTGTGAAACCCTATCCCTACTAAAAATACAAAAATTAGCTAGGCAGGGTGGTGCACATCTGTAGTCCCAGGTACTCAGGAGGCTGAGGCTGGAAAATCACTGGAACCCAGGAGATGGAGGCTGCAGTGAGCTGAGACTGTGCCACTGCACTCCTGGACAACAGAGTGAAACTCCAGCTCCAAATAAAAAAAAAGTATCAGGCCGGGCGCGGTGGCTCAAGCCTGTAATCCCAGCACTTTGGGAGGCCGAGGCGGGTGGATCACGAGGTCAAGAGATCGAGACCATCCTGGTCAACATGGTGAAACCCCGTCTCTACTAAAAATACAAAAAATTAGCTGGGCATGGTGGCGCGTGCCTGTAATCCCAGCTACTCAGGAGGCTGAGGCGGGAGAACTGCTTGAACCCAGGAGGCGGAGGTTGCGGTGAGCCGAGATTGCGCCATTGCACTCCAGCCTGGGTAACAAGAGCGAAACTCCGTCTCAAAAAAAAAGTAACTAAACATTGCCAACTGTCCCTTGGGGGTAAAAATCCCTTCCTCTTGCCTACTAGAGAACCACTGCACTAAAGGAAAGAGCAGTGGCTTTATTGTCCCCAATTTACAAACGGGGGAAATGAGGCACAGAGGAACTCATCCACCATTACACAGTGAGCAGAACTGGGATGTACCCAGGTTTTGAGCCCCAGAGTAAAACAGTCAGCCACATACCAGGTGGCTTTGTAGTACATCTACACTATTCCAGGGGTCATCTCTGGGACTGGTCCAGCGGGGAGGCTGTCCCACTGCCTGATGCCCCGGGAGGCCTCCTCTAAGCTGCAGACCCCACCAGAGGCTTGCAAAAGCTCTAGAAAACTTTTGCTTTTCCTGTATACTCTCTCTGTTATTTCTATTTTTCTTTCTTTCCTTTTTTTCTTCTTTTTGCTGGCATAACAAGACACTGTTTTTTGTTTGTTTGTTTGAGACAGGACCTCACGCTATCAGCCAGGCTGGAGTGCTGCGGTGCAATCTTGACTCACGGCAACCTCCACCCCCTGGTTCGAGTGATCTTCCTGCCTCAACCTCCCAAGTAGCTGGGACTACAGGTGCCCGCCACCACACCTGGCTAATTTCCTTATGTTTTGTAGAGACAGGGTCTCACTATGTTGGCCAGGTTGGTCTTGAACTCCTAGACTCAAGTGAATTAGCCTCCCAAAGTGCTGGGATTACAGGCGCATACCACCACGCCTAATTTTTGTATTTTTAGTAGAGACTGGATTTCACCATGTTGGTCAGGCTGACCTCGAACTCCTGATTTCAAGTGATCCGCCTTCCTTGGCCTCCCAAAGTCCTGGGATTACAGGTACGAGCCACCACACCTGGTTAATTTTTTTTCAATTTATTTTTTCTCCTTAAAAGAAAACAAGGATTGGCCCGGTGCTGTGGCTTGCGCCTGTAATCCTAGCACTTTTGAGGGCTGAGGTGGGCAGACCACCAGGTAAGGAGCTTGGACGGTTGTGTTAGCCAGGTCTGCAATAAATAAGCCCACATGCTTCCCACAAGTAGAAGCAAAAATCAAGAAACAACATACCTGAGGTCCCCAGCTTCTTCCTCTTAGTCATTTTATCTTCCCCTTGAAAAATCTGAAAACAAGCAAAATCTCTCATCGTTATAAGCAGTCCCTGTCTCTGTCTATATCCAGTGGTCTTGGCTGAGGGCAGAGGTTACCCCCATCTGCACCTCAGCCCATTTGGCTAACCCAGGGTCAGATGGCCCCCACTGGGACACAGAGTCACAGCCACTTTGGGCCATGGCCAGTTAGGAATTCAAACCTCCACGCTGCAGATCTTATGCCCAGGACCTGAAAGGCATATTGCCCCTGGGAGCTCCTCATGGGAAGCCCCGGGATCCAGACTCTGGTCCCTGGAATGAAATAGCCTGTGTGAAGACCCTCCCTCTAGGCTGGGGTATCTGGGAGCCCTTCCAAGGATACTCGAGGACATTCCAGAGGCTTCTGGGGTATTTTGAGACCAGCCTAGCCAATATGGTGAAACCCCATCTCTACTAAAAATACAAAAATTAGGCTGGGTGCAGTGGTTCACGCCTGCAATCCCAGCACTTTGGGAGGCTGAGGCGGGAGAAAGACAAGGCCAGGAGTTCAAGACCAGCCTGGCCAACTTGATGAAACCCCATCTCTACTAAAAATACAAAAATTAGCCAGGTGTGGTGGTGCGTGCCTGTAATCCCAGCTACTCAGGAGGTTTAGGCAGGAGAATTGCTTGAACCCGGGAGGCAGAGGTTACAGTGAGCTGAGATTGCACTCTAGCCTGGGTAACAGAGTAAAAAAAAAAAAAAATTAGGCTGGGTGAAGTGGTTTGCGCCTGTAATCTCAGCACTTTGGGAGGCTAAGGTGGGCGGATTACTTGAGGTCAGGGATTCGAGACCAGGCTGAACTATACAGTGAAACCCTGTCTCTACTAAAAGTACACAAATTAGCTGACCATAGTGGCACATGCCTGTAATCCCAGCTACTCAGGAGGCTGAGGCAGGAGCATCTCTTGAACCCGGGAGGTGGAGATGGCAGTGAGCCGAGATCACACCACTGCACTCCAGTCTGGGCAACAGAGCAAGACTCCATCTCAAAAAAAAAAAAAAAAATTAGCCAAGCGTCATGGCACACACCCATAATCCCAGCCACTCAGGAGGCTGTGGCACGAAGATCTCTTGGACCCAGAAGGCAGAGGTTGCAGTGAGCCAAGATCGCGCCACTTTAAAGGGGACAGCTGGGTCCTTGGACGGGCAAGAGCTGCCAGAGGCTGGTTTCTCCCAGCCTTGGGGGCCAGGCAAGCCCAAACCGACCTGGGCCACAGAAGTCGTTGAGGACCTTCTGTCCTTATCAGAAATGAGCTCTGCCCGGATCCGTTGGCAATAAGTGGCTTAAATTATCCGCGTTACCATTTTCGGAAAAAATAAATGGCCAAACTGGCCCTCACAGAAACCCGGAGGCTGAGTCAGGAGCTGAAGGATCAAAAAACCCAAGGGTGGGCCCTGTGGATCCCACTCTCGGTGACAAGCCCCACACTGACACTCCGCGGACCGCCGAGAAGTGAGGAATCCACAGCCCGAGAGCCCATGTGAAGCCGGAGCCCGTCGGTGGCTGCAGGACGCCTGGAACTAAACAGAGGTCGCCGCCCCTCACACCTGCGCGCGCTCTGCTTGTTTCCCGCGCTCCGCGAGGCCCCGCCCTGCGCATGCGCAACACGAAGGCCATCTCGCAGCCCACGACACTGCGCATCGCCCCCAGCAAGCGCATGCGCAGCCTCGCACTGTCTGCCGGGAGTTGTAGTTTCGACGCGGTGGACCCGGCGAGTCCGGTGGCCCCGCTCCGGTGCTGCGGCGCCCTAGGCCCGAGGCGGAAGTGCGGCGGCCAAGCAGGGAGGCGAGGGCTCGGGATCGACGGCCGCGGGGCGCTGACGAGGGGTGCAGGACTCAGGAAGGGCACGTGCGCGGCTACAGGGCCCGGGGAAGGAGGCAGAGCAAGGCCGGGCTTAGGGGCCGGTGGTCCGGGCATCCAGCCTGGAAGATGCACAAGAGGAAAGGACCCCCGGGACCCCCGGGCAGAGGCGCCGCGGCCGCCCGCCAGGTGAGTCTGCACCCCACGGCCCGACCTGAGGATCCCTCCCCACCTCTGATACAGACGCTCAGGGAAGGGCCCCACCCCGCGGGGAAGCCCGATCTCCGCCCCCCAGGTGAGCCCCGGTCCCCGCCCGTCCCAAGTGAGACTCCAACCACCGCCCCCCACAAGTGTGGCCTACAGGCCTTGGCTCCCCAGCTTCTGGGGCTCCGCCCCGGGTTCGGGCCCACCTGTTGCCGCAGCAGCTCCACTCAGGGAGGGGCAGTCCTCGGACTTGGCACATCGAAGCCTTGCATCAGTCGGGCCCTGTCAGACTCTTTTTATTCCATTATACAGATGAGGACTTTGAGACTCAGAGACGTGAAGATATCTGCCCAAGGTCATAGGGATTATCAGTTTGGCCAGAGCTAAGCTCAAATCCAGGACTGCAGGCATAAGCTCATGGCACTGTGGCTGGGCCCCTTCTCCCTTTCCTAACTCCTCTGCCCTGGGCATCAGGAAGTTTGATTTTTCTCATTTTTGATGGAAGGAGCCCGGGACATAGCTTGCTGTTCAGATTATTAGTCTGGCTGACCTAAAGTTCCCTCCTGGCCTCTGCATATTGGACCCTTGACTTCACAGCTCTGAGCCTCAGCTTTCTCATCTGTAAAATGGAGACCTCTGTAATCCCAGCACTTCAGTAGCAGAGGCGGAGGCAGGAGACTCACTTGGGGCCAGAGTTCAAGACCAGCCTGGGCAAAAGTGAGATTCCCCCATCTCAACAAAAAAGAAAAAATTTTAGCTGTGCATGGTGGCATTTGCCTGTAGTCCTAGGTACTTGGGAGGCTAAGAAGGGACGATCGCTTGAGCCCAGGAGTTCAAGACCACAGTGAACTGTGATCCCACTACTTGTACTCCAGCCTGGGTGACAGAACAAGACTCTTTCTCTAAAATAAAAATTAAAAATGGAGGCCGGGTGCAGTGTCTCAGGCCTGTAATCCCAGCACTTTGGGAGGCCACAGCAGGCAGATCACCTGAGGTCAGAAGTCCGAGACCAGCCTGGCCAACCAACATGGTGAAACCCCATCTCTACTAAAAATACAAAAATTAACTGGGCATGGTGGCGGGCACCTGTAAACCCAGCTACTTGGGAGGCTGAGGTGGGAGAATCGCTTGCACTCAGGAGGCGGAGTTTGCAGTGAGCTGAGATCGCACCACTGTATTCCAGCCTGGGTGACAGAGCGAGACTCCTTCCCAGAATAAATAAATAAATAGTAAAAAATGGAGACCTCCAAGAGACCCTACCTTACAGAACAATTGTGAAGATTCATAGAGATAGTTTATGGAAAGTGCTAGCACATAACATTCAATAAATGTGACTATTATCATTATTAGTAGTTGGTAGAGCCATACATAACTGCCAATATTTGGCCATTTTCTACCTACAGGAAAGGCAGTTTCATATAGTTAAACACAATGTTATCACATCATGATTGGTCATTAACCAAGATAGGAAAAGGCCCCACTTCCAACTCTACATTGTCGTCAGGCCTCCGTTTTTTTTTTGAGATGGAGTCTTGCTCTGCTGCCCAGGCTGGAGTGCAGTGGCTCAATCTTGGCTTAGTGCAACCTCCACTTCCTGTGTTCAAGCAATTCTTCTGCCTCAGCCTCCCGAGTAGCTGGGATTAAAGGCATGTGCTGCCACAACTGGCTTATTTTTGTGTTTCACCATGTCGGCCAGGCTGGTCTCAAACTGCTGACCTCAGGTGATCCGCCCACCTCAGCCTCTCAAAATACTGGGATTACAGGCATGAGCCACCGTGCCCGGCCCTGTCCATCAGGGCTTCTAATTGCTTTTTTTTTTTTTTTCGAAGACAGAATCTTGCTCTGACACCCAGGCTAGAGTTCAGTAGTGTGATCTCAGCTCACTGCAACCTCCACCTCCCAGGTTCAAGCAATTCTTCTGCCTCAGCTTCCTGAGTAGGTAGGGTTGCAGACGCCCGCCACCATGCCCAGCTAATTTTTGTATTTTTAGTAGAGATGGGGTTTTGCCTTGTTGGCCAGGCTGGTCTCAAACTCCTGACCTCAGGTGACCCACCCGACTCAGCTTCCCAAAGTGCTGGGATGACTGGAGTGAGCCACCGCGCCTGGCCGCCAGGGCTTCTCATCGCTCTTGAAGCTCCGACCTTCCCACACCGCCCCCTCTGCTCCTCAGCAGAAAGAAAAGCCCAACTGTACGGAGCAGCTTTGCTTTGGGCAAACTGTGGGGCCTGCTTCTCTCCCTCCCTCCCTCCAACCCGCCCTCTTTCTTTCTTTCCTTTCTTTCAGTAGGGCCTCACTCTCTTGTCCAGGCCTAGTGCAGCAGCGCAATCATGGCTCACCGCAGCCTTGATCTCCCCAGGCTCAAATGATCCTCCTGCCTCAGCCTCCCGAGGAGCTGGGACCACAGGCACACACCACCACTGCCAGCTAATTTTTAAAAAAATTTTTGTAGAGATGGGGGCTCACTGCATTGCCCAGGCTGGTCTGGAACTCCCAGACACAAGCCATCCTCCTACCCTGGCCTCCCATAGTGCTGGGATTACAGGCATGAGCCACTGCGTGCACCCAGGGGCCCGTTTTTCCCACTGAACTTAGCCCAGCAGCACATCATAAGTGTGGATTCGGAGCAGGGAGCTGGGTCTCTTGCCCCCTGCCCCGGGTTGAACTGTGCCAGAGAGCCTGGCCTGTCTTGGAACACCTGTTCTGGGCCTATTCCAGCCTCCTGGCTCTCGACAGGGAAACAGCTTTCCCCAGGAGACCTTGGTTCCTTCCTCCCTATGGGACTCTGGGTCATGGCTGAATCCATCCCAAGGTCTAACTGAACCCTTGCTGTCCCCCTAGCTGGGCCTGCTGGTTGACCTCTCCCCAGATGGCCTGATGATCCCTGAGGACGGAGTTAATGATGAAGAACTGGAGGCCGAGTTCTTGGCCTTGGTCGGGGGCCAGCCCCCAGCCCTGGAGAAGCTCAAAGGCAAAGGTGAGATGGTTAACACACCCTTGGAACATTTTCTCATCTCCTGCAAGTGGCTTGGGCACAGAACTGGGGGCACTGGGTAGGTAGGAGAAAGATGACAGAGAAGGACCCCTGTTCTTCTGGAGCCCACAGTCTGGGGAAGAGGGTCAAGATCAACTCTGGGCCCACACTGAGAGTTGGAACCCCAGCTCCATGTCACTTACTAGCCATGTGACTGGATGAGTCACATCACGTGCGTTGCCCTCAGTTTCACCATCTGTAGAATTGGGATAATCACTATGTTATAGGAGTTAATCTTCTGGAGTCCATATTTCACCTGGGGCCTCTGTCACGTAATAAGCTCATGTCAGCGAGGTGCAGTGGCTCACACCTGTAATCCCAGCATGTTGGGAGGCAAAGGCAGGCAGATCCCTTGAGGCCAGGAGTTCAAGATCAGCCTGGCCAACATGGCGAAACCCTGTCTCTACTAAAAATACAAAAGTTATCCAGGTTTGGTGGCAAACATCTGTAATCCCAGCACTTTGGGAGGCCAAGGTGGGGGGATCACTTGAAGCCAGGAGTTCAAGACCAGCCTGGCCAACATGGCGAAACCCTGTCTTTACTAAAAATATAAAAATTAGCTGGGCTTGGTGGTGAACGCCTGTAATCCCAGCTACTCTGGAGGCTGAGGCAGGAGAATCGCTTGAATCCAGGAGGCAGAAGTTGCAGTGAGTGGAGACTGTGCCACTGCACTCCAGCCTGAGCCACAGAGCAAGATCCCATCTCTAGAAAACAAAAAGAGAAGCTTCATTCAGGCATGAATCACTGTGCTGTTGGCTGTGAATTCCAAGTTAATGAATTAACGATATAGATTCAGTAAGTTGTCTTCAAACAGAAACATGCAGAGCAAGGTTGTGTATTCATCAGTTGATTAAAATGTTGTGACCAAGCCGGGCTGGGTGGCTCACGCCTGTAATCCCAGCACTTTGGGAGGCTGAGGCAGGTGGATCACCTGAGGTCAGGAGTTCGAGACCAGTCTGACCAACATGGAGAAACCCCATCTCGACTAAAAATACGAAATTAGCCAGGTGTGGTGGCGCATGCCTGCAATCCAAGCTACTCAGGAGGCTGAGGCACAAGAATTGCTTGAACCTGGGAGTCAGAGGTTGCGGTGAGCTGAGATTGCACCATTGCACTTCTGCCTGGGCAACAAGAGCGAAACTCCATCTCAAAAAACAATGTTGTGACCAGAGCTGAGTGTGGTGGCACATACCTATAGTCCCTGCTACTTGGGAGGTTTAGGCAGGAAGATCACTTGAGGCCAAGAGTTTGAGGCTGCAGTGAGCTCTGATCGGGTCACCACACTCCATCCTGGGTGACAGAGCAGGATCCTGTTTCCAGCAAAAGGTTATGACCGGAGGCTCATAGGAACCTAAGCTGAAATTTCCCCTAGGAGCAACAGCCCCGTAGCCACTAATTTAGTCTTCAAGGCCACTTTAGAGGATACAACTTAAATAATAACAAGATACCGGCAATGTGCTGTTCTAAGAGCTCCATTGCCCTTCTGTGCTCCAACTTCCCTATGAAGGAGGAACTGTTTTTATCACCGTGTCACAGAGGGAGAAACTGAGGCCCAGAGAGGTGAAGTGACTTGCCCAAGGTCTCACAGCAAGAAAGTTGCAGAGCTGGATTTGTTGTTTTTTTGTCGTGTGTGTGTGTGTGTG